TCCTCTCTGCCCGGAGGCAAAGAGTTTGACCTGCACAGCTGCAGACGAATCTCCATCTCCAGACCAACATACAGTACTTACAACTGTATTTAGGTGAATGGGGACATACCCATTATCGTCCGTAGGTATGCTACAACAGTCATCAATATATTTGTTTTTATGAATAACAATATCATAGAGAAATATATTAAATTAGCTTTATGTAACAGATAATATTTCTAAATAAATTTCGCAGCATAAGAACAATCGAAGAAAAAAGTCCTGGGAAGAAAAGTCTGTTAAAAATTAAACAAAATGGTTTTAAAATTAACTTTCCTGGGAGAAACTTCTTAATATGCAAATAAATAAACTGCAAATTCTGTCTTCCCGCCCGTGTGTCTGAAACCCCTCTAACTCAGGCCACACTTGCTTTACATAGACACATAACTTTTTGGAAATTTGCCCTTCCTTAGGTGCTTGAACAACCAGCATTGGGATTTGTGTCTGCATGAAGAGGAGACAGTTAAAAATTCAAATTTTAAAAGAACTGAAAAAAAAAATCGGTGGTTCGGACAGCGCCAAAAATTGGAAAAACACAATTGTTTTTGCACGAAATCAATTTGGAAACACGATTAAGAGGCATCGCTGTCGCGAGAATGAAAGTGGGGACAACTCATATCGAGTTATACTTATTATAAAACCCAGGTTGTTTGTGTGTGTGTGTGTGTTCGTTTATATATGGGATCGGATTTCCTACATTTTTCAAGCGATTTCAACAAAACTTCACTTTCTTTTGGCAGGTAGTTTTTCTTATTGTCTTGCACACTTTTTTCTTTATTTTTACATTCAGAATGCTTTAAAAATTCCATTTACAAGACAATTGTTTATAATAAAATTCTATTCAATCAATAGACTCATAACGAGTGAAAACAATGTTTTCGTTTGAGTTTGGGTTTGACCAATTCGTGAAAAAAAAAAAAAACTAATTAAGACATGCATGTCCGTCAACCTTAAACAATAATCTTTGTCAATTTTATTTTTCAGTCTTTATGATGGTCGATACTTGATCTATCTCTTACTGTTACATCCCCGGGCAACGCCGGGCTCTACTGCTAGTAAATAAATAAAATATGTTAATTTTGTACTTACTGTAATTAAATGATCTAATGTTATAGATCTTCTCTATCGTAACTTAGGCGGAAAGCGCTGGGGCGAACTATATTCTCTGGTCAATTCAACTCTTCAAGGTAAGGACAGGCATAGTAGCAAACCACTCACATTCTCTCTGTATTCAATCGGTGAGAAGTAACAGCTTCTTAACCAGCGAGCCGCTGCTCTATGGACCCGACTCCCCGATCACAACAATCTTAACCTGTTCAAGGCTAACCGTTATCCTCCTCTCCTATCTGCACAAATTGCTTCCTAACGTAACCCTCTACATCGAGTGGCCCCGGGCCTGGTACCATGTAAAAATCATCCTTATACAGGGTGAACCTTACTGTAAGAAAAAATTATTAAGCCAGCTCTAGCAGCAAAATACTGCAAATCCAATCTTCCCTCCTAGTAGAAGGACTAGATTTGAGATCGATCTCAAAGTCTAGACGAGATATACACGATTACTTGGCTTTTAGTAAAGAACGCCGTAGTGTAAATGGAAGTATATATATATATATATATATATATATATATATATATATATATATATATATATATATATATATATATATGTGTGTGTGTGTGTGTGTGTGTGTGTGTGTGTGTGAAGTTAAAATGAGAAAAATAGAATTATAAACTGGAAGATTTTCTGCAATTCATGATTAATTGGTGGTTCCATGTTTACTTCCAAAGACTAGAGTTAAATAAAGAATCTTGACGTCAAATCTATAATTCCTGTTTTTTTTCCTGCACTCTTTGAGTCACGTTGGGCTTGAAGCAGATGAGTAAGAAAGAGAAAAAGATTTTAATCCGAGAAGAAATTTTAAATTCTGTGAAAAGGTAACAATAATATTTTTGAAGATATACACTAAACACAGCTTAGTTTGGTACAAGGTCACAAATACGGACTACTTCGCAATGAGACAACTCCTGGCATAATGAAAGAGATTAGCGAGCCGAGCTTGCTAAACACTATATATATATATATATATATATATATATATAATAACGGGCCACTCTTATTCGAGGATACCCGCCTACTAAGGCGGCAAACCGATCCCTATTGCAGACTCTCGCTCAGGCACATTTGTGTTTGTTTAACACCCACAGAATCAACCTGTGGTTTATGTTGCAACTATGCTGAGCAGACCTTAGTTACAGTTTCTGGGGTAGAGCGTGTTTTCTAGAATGATCCACAATCTGAACAACGCCAGCATACTCAAACCTTCGGTTACGATGACTTGTGACTTCGTGGTAACATAGCTATATATATATATATATATATATATATATATATATATATATATATATATGTGTGTGTGTGTGTGTGTGTGCGCGCAAACATTTCAGATAGAGTATATCTGTAAAAGGACAATATGAATAAAGACAAAAGGAAAACTTATCATAGCCGACGCGTTTCGTCCTCTGAGAGACTTTATCAAAGCAAATATAGGGATTTCATTCTTGTGACAAATATTTATATACACGATTAAAGATGTTATTAGCTTTTCAGAGTTTAAAAAAAATTCCTACGCACTTTCGTTTATCAGGCATTGAACTGTATCACCTGACGTCCATGACCTATACTCCCAAACTCTGCAAAAATCAATAACATTTTTGCTCGTGTATATAAATACTTAACACAAAATAAAGTCCTTACATTTGCGCGTCTAATAAGATTAGTTTTCTTTTTGCCAATATTCTATCTCTTCTTCTTACACACACATACACACACACACACACATATATATGCATATATATAAGGTGCATTTTGGCGGCAAGGGTCTTTCTAACATGTCTGGTTGAACAATATCGAAAAGTTATATTGTCACAATTTTTTATTAGCTTTTTCAAATTTAACGAATAAGTTTTTAATATAATCGGCAATTTTACCAAAGTTCACATTTTTACCCCCGAGTACTTTTGAATGATTGGCATTCTCTCATTTCCTGGAATCAAATTCAAGCCACACATGGTGACACCATTTAGATAGTCAAACTAGAATTTTTTATCTCACACAAACACACACACACACACACACATATATATATATATTAATATATTTTCTGTTTAGACGTTATTTTTATAGATACAAATATTTAAGTAAATGCTATACGTATAAACAGGAAATATATTAAAATAATTGTCGGACTTAGTCAATTTCATAAAAGAAAGAACAGATGTAGTTAAGATTTACAGTTCGTAGCATTTACTTTAAAAAAAAAAGTGGTCAATACAAAGTAGAGCAAAACATGAAAGCTTTTGTGTAGCGATGTAAAATGTTTTTATTATAATTTTATAATATATATATATATATATATATATATATATATAGAGAGAGAGAGAGAGAGAGAGAGAGAGAAAGAGAGAATTAATAAAATATAAAATTTGTCACTAAGTTGATAATTGTTACCTTCATCATCCCTACGCTAGAGTTTCGTAGATGGAACCTACAGCAGTTACTCTGTCCACTTGTCAGGAGATATCAGCAATATATATATATATATATATATATATATATATATATATATATATATATATATATATATATATATATGAGATGTTGTGAGTTTCCCGCGTGTGGGTGTATGAATCAAGACAAACACAGTTGTAGGGGAAAATACTGGTATATTTGTAAAAGCAATTAACAATAGAGTGATTAGTAAAAACGAAGGTTGGTTAGTACGAAACAATATCCAAAGTCTATAGTCCAACGGTATGTAACGGGTAACCTTATCTGGACTGCTCACGCTCTTCCTGTCCTCTCTCTAGAGCTGACATATATAAGAGGGACCAGTCCATTTCTAGTTAGAAGGTGGGTGCGCCCCAACAATATATATATATATATAATTATGTATTTGGGCAGCAATCTTTCTTTTATACAGGTTTCATTGAAGATGACTGACAAGCCACGACGCACGACGATTAAGCTTTTTATTATATTTTTCTTCCATGCGTACAAGAAATTTCTTTTTTGGCTATAGATTTTGTAGAAACTGTTCAAATGGTCTTTGAATATAAGCGCTTTTGGTTAATTTATTTACCATTATCAAGAATGTTTTTGTTTGTCTTAATATTTATATTGTGATGGTAATTTTTTTTATCAATGGAAGTTTTAATGCCAAACATGTAACAACGTTCCTGCAATAAGACGGAGTGTCAAAAGGACACCGTTTTTTTTTTAACCATCTTCACTTTTTGGCAATGTTTATTGTTTTAAAAAGCGATGATTAGCATTGTAATAAAACCTAACACAATACTATTACTTAATATTTTATAAAGTTCAAATCAATTGGCAATTAGCCGGTGTTTTGCCAACCATTAAACAATATAAATAAATAGTGTTTAATATTTTTGTTGTCAATTTACAAGAACAAAGAAAATGTATAAATTCACTTTCATCATATGTTGAGGTTTTATTACAATTTTAGTCATCGCTTTTTAAATCAATAAACATTGTCGAAGAGTAAAGGAAGTTAAAAAGCGGTGTCATGGGAAAAAACCGACCTTTTGACATTACATCCTATTTCGGGCATGTTTGTCCATGTTTGTGATTTTAATTCCCAAACACAGTCAGCACATTGTGGCCGTATGTATAAACAACGATTTTTCTTTTAAAAGAAGAAATAAAACTGTGCCGGTGACAGAACATGCGAGAAAATGGAAACAAAAAGGAAACTTATACTTAACATCAGGAATGGCACATAATGAAAAGAAAAAAAAAAGGATTAGAAAATTTGCTACTCACAGAACAGATTGAAAGTAAGAAGGACAGAGGAAAACAACGCTTAACATACTGTTGTGAGACCGTAACATACCTACAACATGGACTCTTCCAGGACTATATAAAGTATGCGATATAGTACTCTGAGAGAGAGAGAGAGAGAGAGAGAGAGAGAGAGAGAGAGAGAGAGAGAGAGAGAGAGAGAGAGAGAGAGAGAGAGAGAGAGAAAGAAAAAAAATAAATAAAAAAATAAAAATTCTAATACCGTAGTATCAGCCGCGTACGACTACCAATATTGGACACTAGCACATAGTAAGCTCTGCTTACACTTACACTATCTTTGTAACCTTTTTGTTTAATATATCTTTCTTACCTCAAATCCGTGTTCCGTGTTTTCCTTCCGTGGTCCCAACTTTGGGTCCACATCACATACTTAGTCAGCTTGAGTAAATGGATGGCGGGTCAGGTTTTAGGAGAGATATCGAAAAAACGAAATTTATTACCCCCCCCTCCTGGTGGCGATCCGTAATATCTGGGGACGGGGTCCTAGTGGCTGAGGGCTTCAGTAGTCAGAGTTCGGTACTTCTGATTCCCAACACAACACTTTGGCCCTTACTTGGTCTAGACGGTCGGTCGGAAATGTCCAATCCGATCAATCGGCTGCTTTTTGCCTATAACTAATTCATGGAGTATTTTATAACTAAATACAAAAAAAATGTCCAAATATACACCGGGATAAAATACCATTTCTATCCAATTTATAAGGTGTTAGAAGGCGATGTATGAAAGTCAGTCGAATCGAAGAGATCTAGACTTAGACATGGCTGTGAACATAGCAGTTTGTACACTTATTTGGGAAGTGTGACAAATGGTTTAACGGGTGCTCACAGCCTCTCTCGAATAAGAGTATAATGGTTTGTGTAGCTCTAACATGTCAAGGCGACTGATTGACAATTAAGTCATATGTAATGGAGATCTTATTGTACCACCGAAATCGTTAAGGAAAGATGTTATTAAAGCTTTACACAACGACATACATGATGGTGTACTGAAAACACAACTCAGGTTGAAACTACAAGACTGGTGGCCGGGGTCTACACGAGACGTAGATGATTATGTCCGAAAATGCCCCAAATGTGCAGTGATAAAAAACTTTAGTTAAACCAAGATTCATTCATGGTCAAACGAAAAGGAGTTATGGTACACATGAATCATGCATATATAAAAGATGTAGGCCTATTCCTTATAATAGTAGGCACTTATTCAGGTTGGCCTAAAGTGGTTAAAGTTTCGGGCAGAAAAAAACAAGTACTGTAAAACAGGTGTTAAGAGTCGTATTTTCGGGGAACGGAGTACCTAAGACATTGGTGTCTGATAATGCACCAGAGTTTGCTGTAGAAAGCTTGTGTACATAGTTAACACGAATTTGCAGGCTATACAAAACAACCCCAGTCAAATGGAATTGCGGAGAGGATGGTCCAGACGATAAAAGTTGGATTGAAAGCATTCTCTCCAGGGAATTGCAGCCTAGAAAGTTATCTACCAAGATTGCTTTTAAGTTACATGTCTATCCCGCATGCAGGAAGTTCACAAAGCGCCTCGGCGTTGATGGGAAGGTAAATTAGAGCCCCAATAACCATGTCCTTCTCAACATATGAGAATGTAATGTACAAAAGGAATAAGGATTCGAATCCTGGGAAAGCCCAATTTGTAGTGCAAATAGGATTTAATACAGCGATATTAACAAAGAATGGGCATGGCGTGTTAGCTCATGGAGACCAGTTTAGATTGTGAAGAGAGCTGGAATATATTGAAAAAGAGGAAGTGCCTGGTGCCGAAGAGAGGGATCCGGATTATCACCAAGAATTGGAGATTGAAGGGGAAGAGAGAATCAGTGTGTCTGGTGATAATGAGGAACATGAGGAAGATTCAAATGAAGAAAACTCGATAAGACTGAAATACCCCATAAAAAGAAATCTAGGCAATCACCATGAGACAAGAGGTACACCTCCTGGAATGGTTTGTAGAAGTAGCAGATCTACCAATATTCATAAAGCCTCTAAGGTTCTGGAAGATGTATTGATATGCAAATTAAATTGTATATAAGTGGGAAGGTTCTTACACTCGGGAGGGTGTTATCTTTTTTTGACTACACTGCCTACTTGTAAGAAACGCGACACTATAGTCTTTTTAGATAAGTTTGAAATTTGGGCCAATCATTTGGTTCCAAGTGTACGTGTTTCTCAATGAAGTTTCTGTTCAGGTTGACTGTCATTATTTGTAGTTTTATTTTCCATTATTTTTGCGTAGGAAGGGCCTTTCATGTAACCTTCTACAACTTGTTTTGCTTCTGAAAATAAGATGTTTCTTTTATACTTTACTTCGACAATCTTCCTTTTGTTTTTCTAGAAATCGCATGTTTGTGAGTATGCTGGATGACTTTCCTGGCAGTTAGCACATCTTATTTCTTCGTGGTGTTCTTTCTTCATTATGGTTCGAATCCCTTTGGTCACATTTTTTTAAAACAATGTCCAGTGGGCGAAGCCTGCTAGTTTATTATAAAAGTTAGTCAAACCCAAGAAAGATTCAGTTTCTTATTCTTTGGTGTATTATTTTTGATATTTTGCTAATAAGTCTGTCATTTGACGAGATCCCGTCTTTAAGTATTTGATAACCTAAGTATGAAATTTTCTCGCAATTAAATTTACACCTATCTCGATTGATTGTCATGCCTGCATTACTCAATCTGCTCAGAGCCTATTCCGTTTTTATTATTTAGCTATTTAGCTCCTCCTCAGTATGAGCGCCAATACCTATGTCATCCGGATAGACAATGATGTTTTTTACTCTTTCCAAAACTTTCCCAATAGATTTTTGGAATATGTGGCTTGATATTTTAATTCCAAACGGCAGAGAAATCCACTTTAGAAGACATATATGTTTATCGTGGCGACATCTTGAAACTGGTCGTCAATTTTAATCTGATTATACGCAGATTCAAGATCAATTTTGGCAAAAAACAATTAATGCAAGTAAACTCGTGACGAGCTGTTTCAATATTTGGCAGTGGGAAGGAGTTCGAATATGTCTGGTGATTTATACCAACTTTGTAGTCACCACAAATCCTTAAATCTCCATTGGTTTTGCGTATGACCACGATTGGAGAATCCCAATCGCTACCTTCCTAGATGACCTTCTCCAATATTCCTTGTTCAATCATTTTATTAAGTTTCGCAATAATCACAGGCAGAAGGTGAATAAGAAATTTACGAGATTGAAAATATACCGGTTGGCTATTCTCGTTGAGCCGGACACTCGCTTCGTAATCCTTTAAAAGTCGAATTTCCCGTTCTTCTAATTTCATACAATTAACTAACCTTGAGGTGTCTATTCTTAATGTACCAACTCCCAGGAGACTATGATCTTTTATGCACTTCACAACTATGGTTAGTATTACCACGAATCACGTCTTAGTCTCGGAGACCCCCTTAAAGCATCCAAGTGTTTTAATGACTGACTTGTCAAATTGTTTCAATTGCAGATTAGTTCTTAGTTTTGGTCTTTCTCCCATAAATTCTTGGATATTAACGTTACATCATTACCCATATCCACTTGAATTAGTAGAGTTATTCCATTTATTTTTTTTTTTTACCTTTTCTCTACTCTTATCTCGCGGTTTGACTTCATAAATTTCAGTGTTTCTCGTCAAATGATCTATTTTCTCCACTTCTGTTTTTACGTATTTGCATACTGACTGGAAATGGTTTTTCTTCTTGCACTTAAAACACATCTTTCCAAAAGCTGGGTATTTATTCTTGTTTATCTCATGTTCTTTGTTGCAAAAACGACATTTACGTAAACTCTCCATAGTACTGTATGCCGCCATGTTAGTCTTAGGGGTATTAAATCTGAATTAACTCTAGCTGCTGTAAAAATTCAAGACTCGTTTTATTATTCATGTTCTGGACTTGAAGCTGTTCCAAAGTTTTGTACTGTGAATTCGAAAAGTTGGTTACAGGACTGATGTCTATAGAAGAGGAATTAATAGAGTTAAGGTTAATTGAAGGACTATATGACGTCTCGAGTAACCTTAATTCAATTAACCATAACTGTATTAATTCCTCTTCTATAGACATCAGTCCTGTAACCAACTTTTCGAATTCACAGTACCTCGATGCTTCTTTTAGCCTGTGAACGTAATAATAATAATTTCATCGGGGTTTTGTCTGATTTCAAGAAATTTCGTCCTCTCAGCTATGACCGGTTTCTTTTTTGGATGGACAATTTCTTCAAATGTCAAGTCTAACATTTTTGGTTAGACTATTACGGAGATCTTTTTTTTACGGCAACACAACCAGCTGACGCTAGAAATAAATCTGTTCATTTCCTCCTCCTACCAAAAATTATAGACCAAATGAGAATGTCAAAATCAATTTCTCTACAAATCGTGAATCTGAAAAGAAAGCATCAATGAAAACAGACTCTTGGCAACAACGCTCTTTCAAAAGTATATCAATAAAACCGGATCTACAAACTGTTTCCTTACAAAGAATATAGATTCTTTTCATACGAATCTATTGAAAAAAAATCATGTCGGCATTAAATAACTCATTGAGGTTCCGTGCTAATAGGTGTAGGGAATGGACAAACACGGTGGATAAATAGTAACAGGTTTATTGTAGAAACCAGTATGCGTGCTGCTATCGGAAGGCCGCTAGTTCTTGCAGATCTCAGATCGACGCTATTTAGTAACTGCCCCACTCAGTCACATGTGGCACAAGGCCGAATTTAAAGTGGGGTTCCCGAGCCCGTAGGCTCGGCCAAAAAATCCCCATAGACCCCGCATAAACGGGATCGGGTCTGTCTACCTTCCCGGACGAAACTCTTCCCTTCGGCATAGCTTCGTACGGGTTCCTCTCTGCCCGAAGCCAGAAAGTTCGACTCGCGCAGCTGGGAAAGATCTCAACGCGACACACCTGTCCGCTGTCCTAACGGATACCTATAGGTGGTTATCACCTATAGTGCCGCCACTCATGGGGGTTGCAGGTTATTCCATCACATCAAGGTTAATATGCCGTAAGACAAAACAGACCAACCAAGCAAAGGACAGGAAATGTTGGAGAGCTATGAACGACTACGTCCTGAAGGGACACGGCACATGGAAAAAGACGAAAAGAAATATACTATTTAAAATAAACGGAGCGTCTACTCAAATATGATTATCCACAAAAATAACGTTTAAAGTGATACACACACACACACACACACACACACACATATATATATATATATATATATATATATATATGATAGGTGTTATGCATGTGTATACAAGCACACAGCATATATATTTAGAAATATAGTTCCACACAGGCACACACACACACACACACACACACACACACACATATATATATATATATATGATAAAGAGAGAGGGAAAGGTAGAGGCAAAGAGTGAGAGAGTGGGAGGTAGAGTAGTTAGAAAGAGATAAAAAGGAAGGGAAAATAAAGAGAAAGACAAGGAGAATAAGGGAGATTAAAGGGAAAGAGAAATGAAGGACGGATGGTAGGAAGGAGAATAGGGATAATGAGATTGTGGGAGGGGAAGGAGAGAGAAAGAGATAGAGAGGAAGTGAGAGTAATGTGAGGTAAAGTAAAGGGTAATAAAAGGCAAGAGAAAGGAATGGCGAGTAGAGAAAAAGCGAGAGAGTGGAAGTGGGAATAGAGATAGTGAGAGTGGGAGAGAAAGGGATAGAGAGGAAGTGAGAGGAAAGTGAGTGAGTGCAAGGGAGAATAAAGAGAAAGAGAAGGGAAGGACGATTAAGGGAAAGAGAGAGAGTGGGAGGGAGTGTAAAGATATAGGAGAGAGATAGAGGGAAAAGGAAAGTGGAAGGGAGAGTAAAGAGTGAGAGATAGATAGAGAGACAGAATGGAAGAGTCTGAATAATTGATGGAAGAATTTTTAAAAAAGCTATTTTTTTTCAAATAACGCATTTTTTTCCATTGTTTCATGTTAATTTCATTCAGTATTTTTTGTTTTTGCTATTTCTGTGCCCGAGTTTTTGATTCACTGAATCGAGGTTTGAATGTTATTCATATTTTGCCTTGTGTCAGATGAAAGAAATTCCAGAGAGAATGACATGCCAATGGAAGAATTGCACTCTGAGGCATTGGGAAGTTCTTCGCAATGGGTTAAATAACGACGTCGCCATCTTAGAGTTCTGGCGCTGGCATGTGTGTTTATGTGTGTGTGTGCATGCGTGAGAGAGAGAGAGAGAGAGAGAAAAGGGAGATGGGGGAGATAGGTAGAGATAGGGAGGGAAAGAGAAAACGAAATAGAGAGAGAAAAGGGGTGAAAATGATAGAGTGAAAGGAAGGAACAAAGAGAGTGAGAGAGAGAGAGAGAGAAAGGAAGGAAGGAAGAAGAGAGAGGGAAAGTGAAAAAAGTGATAGAAGAAGAGATAGTAGAGAGATAAGAAGAGAGAACATGAAAGAGTAGGGTGGGGGAGAAATATAGAGAGAAAGAACAAGACAGAGAGAGAAAAGGGGCGAAAATGACAGAGTGAAAGGAAGGAAAAAAGAGAATGAGAGAGTGAGAGAGATAGAGAGAGAGAGAGTGAAAAAAGCGATAGAAGAAGAGATAGTAGAGAGATAAGAAGACAGAACATGAAAGAGTGGGGTGGGGGAGAAATATAGAGAGAAAGAGAGAACGAGACAGAGAGAGAAAAGGGGCGAAAATGACAGAGTGAAAGGAAGGAACAAAGAGAATGAGAGAGTGTGTGTGTGTGTGTGTGAGAGAGAGAGAGAGAGAGAGAGAGAGAAAAAAGCGATAGAAGAAGAGATAGTAGAGAGATAAGAAAAGAGAACGTGAAAGAGTGGGGTGGGAGAGGAAGAGAGAGACAGACAAAAGGATAAATTAAGACAGAGATGGAGAGAGCGAAAGAAAGGTAGAAAGAAAGTGGGAAATAAAGGGAGAAAGAAAAAGAGATGGGGGGGAGCGAGTGACGAAAGAGAAAGTGACAGAGAAGATAGAAACAGAGAGCAAATGATAGAGAAAGAAAGAAATAGAGAAAGAGTGAGACAGAAAAAGAGAGTGAGAAAGAAAGAGAAAAAAAAGAAAGGGAAAAAGCGAAAACTTATCACGAAGAATTCCTTCGCTCGAGCGAATGGTCTGGTAGACGTCGGTAGTTGCTTGTCCCGAATTAGTCTCAGAAATAAATTCTTGCGATGTATAATAATTCCATGTAATTTATTGCTTAAACCACAATCATCATTTAGCGCATTTTACGTCTCTGTGATCAACACTCCTCTCCATCTTTCTACCTGTCTGGTGCTGGACTTACAGCTTCAGCCACCGTCATTCCAGTCCGCCTCATTATCCTCAAACCAAGACCTGGGTGGTCGTCCTTGGCACCGCTTGCCCTTCACTGGGCCCAGCAGAAAGTCCTTACCGAAGCAGCCTCGTCGCATAATTTGTTCAAAGTAACGGAGCTTCCTTAGTGTCATCTGCTCTCTCAATGCGTATCTGGTTCTGATGCTATCTAGCACCCACTTCAAACATTTACCAACCGATGTCTCAGAAACATCCTCAGTATCAGGTGGCCAGAAGTCGTCTCCACGGCATCTCGCTGTCCATGGGGCTTTAAGTACTTTGCGATATGCCCACATCACGAATGCATCAGTCCGCTGTATTTCAGTCTTGGTCAGCGCCCATGACTCCCAATCGTAGCTGGCGATGTCGAAAACTGTGGCTCGTAGTAATTTCAACTATTGCTTAAATAGCTAAGCAAATCATTAAGCAACTGGTAATAAGGCAAAGAAAATTGCGTTTGAAACATTGGAAAGAGCGCTGAACTGCTTCGTAATATCAGTCCTCCTATATGGCAATGAATGCTGAACAATTTCCTCACAGACGACGAGGAGACTTGGAGCAACAGAAACAAAGGAAAGAGCGATGAACTGCTTTGTATCAAACCTCGTTGATGGCAATGAATACTGGACAATTCCTTATACCAAGTCCTACCAGGATTCATTACTAGCAGCCACAGTTTGTCTACCTGGGAAGTGTCGTCAGTAAAGATTAGGTGGACGGATGAAGACATCAAGTGCCGAATCAACAAAGCCCGACACGCTTTCAACACTCTACGACCAATCTGGAGATCAACAGCCTTCCTCACTTTACAAGAAGATCCGAATCTTCAAGGCGGTCCTACTTTACAGTTCATCAACTTAGCGGGTAACTAAGACCAACACCCACAAACTTCAAACATTTACCAACCGATGTCTCAGAAACACCCTCAGTATCAGGTGGCCGGAAGTCGTCTCCAACGACCAACTGTGGGACAGGACAAGACAAGCCCCAATCGAGATTGACATCAAGAAACGGAAATGGGGATGGATTAGTCACCCACTCCGTAAACCTACTTTTACTGTCAACAGGCAGGCCCTTGACTGGAATCCACAAGGGAAGCGAAAAGTGGGTCAGCCAAAACAGACTCGGTGCAGAAGTGTTGACGCAGTGGTGAAGGCAGCCGGCACGACATGGGCCGAGCTGAAGTGGATCGCCCGGAACCGCGTCCGTTGGAGAGGTATTGTTACGGCATTATGATCCCCAAGGAATCAAGAGGCATAATAATAAAATAATAAGTCCTCCTATATGCTGGACCATCTCGGCTCAGATGAAGAAGAGAATTGAGGCAATAGAAATGTAGTCCTACAGAAGCATGCTGAGGATAACATGTATTAACCATGTGAGCAACTGTGGAGTTTTATAGAAAATGGAAGCAAAAAGGCCACTTGGCATTAGAAAGAGACAACTGAAATTTTAAGGACGCATAATGAGGAAAGAAGACTTGGAAAACGTGAAACTCACAGGACATATTGAAGGCAAGAGAAGGCGGAAAGCAGCAAACAATCCACCTAACGCGCTTGTGCAAATGGATGGCAGAACAGGGGTTAGGGTAAATAAGAAAAAGATAGAATTTACAAAGAGCTACAAAAGAAATTGTGGAGAGTCGTGATTGTCCACGTGCTAAAAGGTCACGACACGAAGAAGATTATGTTAAAAAAAACCCCGGCCATTTTGTTTGCGTGTTTCATGGAGTAATACATATAACTACTTAATAATTAAGCATGTTTTATCATATGCTTCTTCTGTGGGTGTGGACTAAAAGGTGCTGTGACGAAAGCAGATAGCCTAAACACGCATACACGCATTTATTAAGGTTAATTTCCGCCTAGCAACAGAATAGAGGTCACGTGGGCGTTTTATGACATTTTGGGAAGGCAGGTCAAAAGGTTGATTGACCCAATTATCCGTAGCGATAAATGTCTAGACAGAAGCTAGACAGGGGACTGATGTAAGCTGGAATTCGCGCCAAAACTTAAGACACGTGATAGTCAGAGATTCACTCGAGAATCAGTTGCTATCTTGACTTTGAAGAAGCAAGACCTGAAGTCGAAGCGCTGATAGTTTATGAACGAAAAGATAAGACTCATTTGATAGTGATGGAACTTATCCAGTTCAACCCAGGCAACTCCGGACAAGAAATATAGCAAGAAGTATTCCTGTTCGATAACCCCAAATTGAAGACGCAGAGAAATTTATACGCTGAGGATTCAGCCTGCGTTTAAAGAAAAGGGAAGACCAGAGAGGAAAGTGTATACCTCTGTTACAAGTTGAATTGTATAAAGAAAAGAAAAAGGATATCCAAAGAGGAAGAAAGTATATACCTCTGTTACAAGTTGAATTGTGTAAAGAAATAGAGGAAAAGAGAACCAGAGAGGAAGAAAGTGTATACCTCTGTTATAAGCTGAATTGTGTAAAGAAGAAGAAGGAAAGAAAGAAGAAAACCAAAGAGAGGAAGAAAGTGTACATCCCTGTTGCAGTGAGTCGGGTTTGGAAACCGAACTGTCTACAGAAGAAAAAAGAAGGAAAGGAAAAGGCAAAACAAAGAGAGGAAGAAAGTGTATACCTCTGTTACAGCCGGACAGTGTGTGAAATTGTGTTTGTATCGAGAAAAGAAAAGAAAGGACAATGATAAAAAAAGAGAACTGAATATAAAAGATAAGTAATCATATTTTGAACCAGTAATAGAAAGATATACATACATCCATGAATATTATGTTCTTGCAAACACCTTTTCACATGTCAAAATAATAATTGTACCTCCTATCCCATCTATTTTGTGTATGCGTTAGCTTCTGCATTCATAGTAATTCATACTTATATTTTTGTATGTTCGGGTTCAGTTGAATCCATTTGGTGTTAGGCGAATTTTGATATCCCAACGTAAGTCTTGAGATCTGGTCGTCGGATGTTTTACTCATACTTACATTTTCTTTTATTTTAATATTTGTATATTTGTACATATTAAAGTTCTTGTATAAAAATCGCTAAGCCTTATAGTTCATCCTTGTATTGTGGATCAGTATTCGTGTTGAAAACGAAGCGGACCTGGGAAAGATTACTGTTCGATTATCCTAATCAAACAGTGTTCTTAAAATTATTTTGTTTACCAATTGTCCATTGTCACGATCTGAGAGAGATAGCTTGTATCTCTCCACAGGTGTGAGAATGTATATATCTTTTAGTTGGCGTATGATCACCTTATAAACCCATTCGTCGACTAGGGCATATGACAGGTGCCAACTGCATCTCATGCTGAGGGGCAGCACCTCCCCAAAAGAGGCCATCTACGAAGTAAATGCTTAGTTACTTGTGTGCCGTACGTCATACACGTTTCGGCGATCATGTATCTTTCGATATGTGACTGACGAGACAGAATTTATTCCGCAGTAGGTTGCCATTTCTTTCTGCAGTAGACTAGTTGCCATCCAAGGCTATAGATAGAACCCGGTCTGTCCTGCTATTTATCCATAACTGGGGGAGAAGAAGAGGATACATACCTTTCCCAAGTTTATTAGCACGTAAGTGAATGTAATGGATTCGACTGGAATTCGAACCCGGCTCTCCGATTCCTTACTCCACCGTGCGCCCTTAAATACTTTCATGGTCATTTTTCGGATGAGATCTTTGCTATGTTACCTAAACTATGAATTTAAGCGCAGTACTAGACTGGCGGTGAGGGCTCATCAATTTACAGTTGAATTGGGTAGATGTAGCCGTAAGTTCTATGTTAACAGTTTCTTCTCTCACACTTCTAGCTTGTGGGGCTCTCTTCCGGCTCCATGCTTTTCGGACAAATTTGATCTTCAAAAATTTAAATGTAATGTCAATCGCTATCTACTGTCCTGATTACTCTTTTCTCTTTCTACTCATTATTAATGTTTCTGTTCTTAATTCCTCCACACCCTGTAACCACTTACGTGTTAGTGGCTTTACTGCCTTACTTGTGGAACTCCCTTACAGCTCCATGCTTTCGAGCCAACTTTCATCTGCAAAAGTTTAAATGCAATGTCAATCGCTATCTACTGTCCTCCTGATTCCCCCTTTTTTTGTTTCTACTCATTACTAATGTTTCTGTTTCGAGTTTCTAGTCCCTCACACCCTGGAACCCCTTGCGTCTTAGTGGCTTTACTGCCTTGCTTGGGGGTGACACCGATTAAAAAAAAATGATCAACATTAACTATATGCTCAAATATAAAACCACCTGATATTTTATTATAAAAATTATCGTTGAAAAAAAAAGTTGACTACTCTCCGATCCGGCTGCCCTTTTATATCGTTATTACAGGGTAGTCAGAGGGGGGGGGAGCAATATTTAATTATCTCTGGACCAAGTAAATGAATATAGACTCCTGGTTTGGTGCTTCTGCTATATAAAAAAAGTCAAACGTTGCTTAGAGCAAGAAGAGACAGGAAGTAGTGCCAAGCCATGATGACACACATTCTGAACGGGCACAACACGTCAAGACTTCTACAAGAAGTCAAGATAGAAATGTACAAGGCCACTCGAGTTAGAGAATTACAGAGTAGGAGGCACAAGATATGGGGATATATAGAGAAGATAACGGTTGACCATAGACTTAAATAGTATCTGTCTATATTTCTGAGATGAGGTATTATGTACACTATTTACATTATTCGGACTATTGTCCTCATCTTTGTCGCCATATTTATTACAACGTTCCGGCCTTTCAGTATCTGTCTATATTTCTGAGATGAGGTATCATGTACACTATTTACATTATTCGGACTATTGTCCTCATCTTTGTCGCCATATTTATTACAACGTTTCGGCCTTTGTACGCTCCGGCCTTCTTCAGGTGGTTGGAATGTCGAACTGAACCCTTTATTTCGCTCACTGGAGTAGACTGTTCTAGTTCCACGTGCCATGTCTAATGGATGTCAGTTATCAGTTATCTCTTGCTAATTCCCCTCTCCAAGTTCTCCACTGCATTAACCGGGTATTGAACGCACACTCTTTGTCACTGGATCTAACTAACACCTTTATCCACTGTGCCATGTGTCCTTGAGGATCAGTTCGACATTCCAACCACCTGAAGAAAAGCCGGAGTGTACAACGGCCGAAACGTTGTAATAAATATGGCGACAAAGATGTGCCTCCTTCTGTCTTTTTTACAAATACTTTCATGGTAACTGCTCCGATGAGCTGCTTTCGCTGATTCCCAGACTTCATGAATTTATGCGTTCTACTAGGCTGGCGTTTCGCTCTCACCCTTTCACTGTCGAAACTGTTAAATGTAGCCGTCTCTTCTACTCCAACAGCTTCATATCTCGCACTCCTCACCTGTGGAACTCTCTCCCCATTTCTTGTTTCCCTGATAGCTATAATCTCCAACTATTCAAATGTAATTTCAATCGACGTCTCCAGATGCCTTGATCTATCCCCTAACCTTCTCTTCATCCTTTCCTCTATCACTCCTATTTGTTCTCGCTCCAAATCTCTGTAACCCCTTGCGTGCTAGTGGCTCCTCCCCCTTGCTTGGGGTTGAATGCTTAAAAAAAATAGTCCGAATAATGTAAATAGTAGATTTAAATAGGTTGATATTGTTATGATCGGGGAAGCATTTTCTTGGGAGTTGGTTCCACAATGTAGCGGTTCGTGGGAAGAAGCTGTTCGAGTGGAACTTACATCTCGCCGATATAATACGAAGGGAATAAAGGTGATTTGCTATAATGTGCGTGGCATGGCGGGCCTTAACCGTGAAGGTTAGAACTGGTGAAACTACGCCTGAACACTCTCAATGGAAACATCGATAGAGCCGTGAGAGGCCAGCGGCGTTTCGCCCGTCGGCAAGGGATTGTCGTAGAGTGGAAAATAATTCGTCACCAACACACTTCGAATAAAACAAGAAAACAAAAACCTAAAACTGAAGATGATTGCGTATTACAATTTTGACGGTCCTACCGATAAGTTGATGAGCACTAGATCAAGAAATAGCATTTTATCAATTCGTTTCTTCATGACTTTCAGTTTATTACAATATGTTATCAAATCGATGTTATTACAATTTTATTACATCCAGTTTCTTCAAACATATTCTGCTAACGGCCACAGCATGTTGAAACACCCGTACGATCACAGAAGTTAAGCAACGTCGAGCTTGGTAAATACCTAGATGGGTGACCGCTTCGGAATATCAGGTACTGTAAGCTTTGATGTATGAGTGGTGTAAGATAACGACTCGGAATTGGAAATCGTAGAGCCGAGATTCAATTCCAATCGGGTTTGTTATATTCACTTACGCGCAAATGCTCTTGGGAAAGGCATGAATCCACCCCCCCAACAGGTAAACAGTAAAAATAGTAGGACCTGTATCGGTAAAATCATTATCCTCCCAAAAAGTCTTGCAAAATAAATAAAATATTTTCTGGCTTTAAATAACCATCTAAAGGTTGATAAACCATAAAAAACATATCAACCTTTAAAGATGTTGAACGCACTGCTTTGCTTTATTACAAATTTTCAAGTTATAGGATTTTTCATTTATTTTTCAGACAGTGCTAGTGATTATATAAACTCAAAATCTGACATATTTAAGAAGTGACGCATTGTGATTAAAGTCAATGAAAATCGATTTAAAAATTGTTCAGCACTCCAAGATCATTAGAATGGCGTCGACGTGTCAATAACTGATGATGATTCAACATTTTTATTTAATGGCAGAAAAAAAAAAGTTTTCAAATTAATTTTCAAAGTTTCCCATTTCAAATAGAAAACTGAAAAAAAAACAAAAAAAAAAAAAACTTTTATTCAGTCAAGTTGCGATGTGTTTTGGCTTTCACTTTGAGGCTTGCAAATTGAGTTGAATTGACCCGCGAGCCAATCTCCCCATTGCAATTAAGGGAGAAATCAGTTTTTTTTTCTGTGTTGATACGGCTAATACCGAGTTGCCACAGACATTTTTAAAAAAATTGATTACGTTAAAAAGACTTCAAATTATGTTCAATATCATTGAGTGGACATTGAATATCTAAATGACGATAAATTACTTGCTGAAACGATTTTATTATTGAATCAATACTAAATCGTTTGGAATGAAATGCAAGAGAGACGAGAAACTGAATACCGACATAATAATAATAATAATAATAATAATAATAATAATAATAATAATAATAAAATGCTTCAGGACATATCTCATAGAAATACCGGTTCCCGTACGATCACCGAAGTTTAACAACATCGAGCCCAGTCAGTACCTACATGGGTAACCACATTAAATTTTCCAAGGACTTCTCCTTATAACTAATATAATCATTAAGCGCTATAAAAATTAATTTCTCTAAATTTCATAAAATTAAATAACGTTAAGTCATGCAAAAACAAAACTTACCAGAATTTTCTAGAAAAGAAACGTTTCTAAAATATCATTCATTTGTGAATAAGTCCTGAAAGTTTAATTAAAATCTCACAATTATCTGTTTTTTGCAAGAATTTCGAAATCAATGTGTTTTTCACTGCAAATTTACGATCATATACTAATTTGCGTTGACATAAGAAAAACATCTTTAGTCAATATTTCGTAAGTCCTAACAAGAATAAAAAAATATAGATTAAAAATCAAAATAGTCTTTTGGCTTTTCTTCTACATAATAGCATAAAGATTTTGACGATAAAACTTTGTTTTTATTAAGTCTGGGACATTTTTTCATCATGGTATGTTCTTTTTTAGCGAATCTTTGGGGGTACTTATATTAATGTATGTACTTGTTCCGTTTGAAACAAACCCTAAGTTTGTCTGTGGTCTTACGTTACTTAATTACAATACTATGTCGGTTCATCATAGAGGACCAAAGCAACGTCGAGCCTGGCCAGTACCTAGATGGGTGACCGCTTGGGGATACCAGGCACTATCAGCTTGGATGTGCGAATAGGATACGGATAATTGATCTGGATGAGAAATTGGAGATATGAGTTCAAATTCCAATCGGGTTTGTTATATTCCCTTACGCGCAAAAACCAGTGGGAAAGGTACGAATTCATCTCTTCTCCCTTAGCTATGGGTTAATTAGTAAGACATTTATCACTAAATAATTATTATCTCCAAAAAAAAAAAAATTCTTATAATCTAAAAATATTTTTCTGGTTCTAAATAAATTGCATATGGTTGATAAGCCGTGGAAAACGAATCAATCAATAAAAAAAAAATGATATTAAATATTAAAAATAGCAAAAACAATGTTTCGGCCGTTGTACGCTCCGGCCTTCTGGTTGGAATGTCGAACTGAACCCTTTATTTCGCTCACTGGGGTAGACTGTTCTAGTTCCACGTGCCATGTTTAATGGATGTCAGTTATCAGTTATCTCCTGCTAATTTCCCTCTGAAAGTTCTCCACTGCCTTAACCGGGTATTGGACATGACACATAGAACTAGAACAGTCTACTCCAGTAAGCAAAGTAAAGGGTTAAGTTCGACATTCCAACTACCTGAAGAAGGCCGGAGCGTACAACGACCGAAACGTTGTAATAAATATGGCGACAAAGATGAGGACAATAGTCCGAATAATGTAAATTATGTACATAATACCTCATCTCAGAAATATAGACAGCAAAAACAAACATGAAAAAATAATTTAAAGAAAAAAGGTGGCAAATAGAAATCTGGATGAAGTGACATTTCGAGGGTGTTCTGATAAGTGCTCATCAGTCCCACAAGCTCTTTAAAAATGTTTGGTCACATCTGGCGAAATGTGTCAGGTCAAGTAATTTTCTGCACCCCATCATAATACCATGCAACATGAGAAATCCCAATATACTTACCCTTAGTATTTTTCTTCATTTTCATAGTTTTGTGATACTATCGTTAGACGCCCATATAGAAGAGGATAAGTTGTGATTATGTTACAGTCTTAGTGTTTAATGTTTTTTCACCAGCGATAAGGTCAAGTGATAAACAAACGGACGTTGGGGATTTTCGGTCGCGGGTCATTAACGGTTATAGTTGGGATTGAGGGGAGTTCTGGACCACCCTTGACAATTGTTCTTCGGAGTAGTGCCGTGCTGGTCGTTATCGGATGAAGACAGAACGTCAAGGTAGTTCTGATGCCGCCCGTCAGAGTTGCCAGTCGCGCGTCATAATGCTGTAGTGGACATGGGGAGGATTTAGGAGAATCAGAGTCCTCGCTGGTTGGAAGTAAAAACTGGCCTGTTAGCCTAATGTGACAGAAGTGGCAGATTACTGTGTAGTTATAAATGATTTCCATCTTTACCTAAATCTTGCAGTCGTCAGGTTATCGATAAATGTTTTAACACCCACCACCGTGTTAAAAAAATGCTTTTCTGCGATAATTTAAACTGAAAGTAAGTAATATTTGTTTTAATTTAAATTAAACTCTAAATCAGTTAATCTTTCTCAAATAAAGTTTCAGAAAAGTATATTTTATTTTTGAAAATTTTTTAACAAAGAGAATTATTTTGTATTGACAGATTTATCAATATGACCGATTTTAGCGATTAAAAAATAATTGCAATTAATTTAAATTCGGTTTGAAATACAGTAAAGTATTTTGCTTATTGGAAATATTAAATTTAATCGATTAGCTCAGAATTAAAACAAAAACTTTAAGAAGGAGTTTTCATTTTTAAAATGCATTTTAAAAGTTAGACATAGGTTTTTTGGAAGTACCTACATTTGGAAGTACAATATATTTAAGGAGAAGCTGCATTCTTTAGAAAAAAACAAAAGGGGTATAGTCTTTTCAAATCACAACGACAGTGATCGTGTCATTTGCCTCCCTCCATGTCGTCTGGGTTTTATTGCGAAAGCGACCAGTGAACATTAATATTTTGTGTTTGCTTGACGGTGAGTGTATGGACTTGTGTGACTCTATCGACAGGATGCAATCGATTTTAGGTGGTTAACGTCACAAAGAAGCCACAATGGCAACAGATAAAGGATTGAAAAGAGAACTGGGAATTTCAAAAATAAAGAACAGTGGTCTGATATTTGAAAAGAAAAAAATCGATCGTTCCTCAGAAAAGTCTGAAAAAAATTGTTCACTCAAAATATGCGTTGGTGATGGAACAATCGAGACCGAAATAAAGGGAGATGATTTTTAAAAAGAAACTGAAGAATTATTCAAGAAACTGAAGAATTATTCAAGAGACGTTCAAAATATGAAATAATGAAAGGGCGAAGAAAATATAGTCAGGCATTGGATATTTTTTTTTTAGTTTCATTATGTATAAAAAGAAGAAATAACGAAAAAGAAAAGGATGTATTTCTTTCCATTAATTCATTCTATTTAAATCTATCTATCTATCTATCTATCTATCTATCTATCTATCTATCTATCTATCTATAACTGAAAAGTTCTCGAACCAATCAAGATGTCCTTCTCCCAAAATATCTGATTCTGTGACCGGATTAGGAGAAATGGTTCAGGTCACAAACTTTACAGCACTTATATTACCAGTGCATTTAATATTGGGTAAATTGAAACATGTATACAGGCTATTGCTATTGTATTTTAAATCTATCTATCTATCTATCTATCTATCTATCTATCTATCTATCTATCTATCTCTGAGTGACCACTGAAAAGTTCTTGAGTCGGCCAAGATGCCCTTTCGAAAAATATCTGACGCTTCATCATGTGATCAGATTAGGTGAAGTGTGTCGGGTCACAAACTTTAAAGCATGTGTTTGTTTACTTGCTTTCTTTCTTTCATTCATTCATTCATTCATTCTTTCTTTCTTTCTTTCTTTCTTTCTATGAATGGCTACTGAATTATTCTCGACCAGATCAAGATGCTTTTCCCCAAAATATCTGATGCTTGATCATGTGATTAGATTAGTGAATGTGGGTCGGGTTGCAAATTTTAGAGCACTTCTATCTATCTATCTATCTATCTATCTATCTATCTATCTATCTATCAGGAACCACTAAAAAGTTCTCAGCCCGACTAAGATGTCTTTCCTAAAAATATTTGATGCTTGGTCATGTGATTAGATTAAGGAAAGTGGGTCGGGGCGCGAATGTTTTCAGTACTTTGTTTTTTCTGTGAGGGGCTACTGAATAGTTCTCGACCCGATGAAGATGTTATCCCCCCAAAAAAAAGACTATCTCATGCTTTATCTGAAAGCTGACAAGAACAAATACTACACTTTGATTTTAGCCAAAAGGCCGAGAACGACGACAAACGCCATA